TGTCCACAGGTAAAGACACACACACACACACAGATAAATACTCTAGATATATATATATATATATATATATGACAGAAATTAAATTGAGAACCACTGCAGTACTCACAGGTAATTTTGGTCTCCTGTTGTGGTCCACCATGTCCAGCAGGGGGTGGTGTTCTGCGAGCTGCTCCATGCTCACAACTTTCTGAAAACCCAGTCTGTCCTGGTGGTCAGGAATCATAAGAAATGTTCAAGCTTCACTTGAGAAGCTTCTCTCCCAACTCTTGGCTTTCTTGGTGACTCACTAATGAGACGTTCACATAATGATGATGTTTTCAAAGAAGAAAGGGGGTCGAGGGACCAAAGGTCAGTGATGGGTCAGTCGCTGAAAGGATACGTGTTGGCGATCTCCATCACTGGACCTTGTCCTGATAGGAGGACACATTTATCATGGAAAGTCTTCAGCAGCTGCAAAGGACTATGGGAAAGAAGCACCTGCTCTGTGGTGATCTATACACAAACACAAAGAGAGAACTCACATGGCTGTGTCATCCAATAAAAGCCCAGCTACCAGAACACATGGTTTGTTTGTTTGTTTTTTTTTTGGTCTACCTGGACATTAAAGAGATGAGACAGCTGCTGGGCTTTGTGGTGTCTCTGACAACTTCCTGCGTTAGTGACAAAGACGACAGGAAACAGGAACCTGTCATTTCTGTCCAGAAGTTTTCTCAATGCTCTTTGAGCGGCGGGAATCACCGAGCCCCCACGGAGCAGGACACCATCGACATCAAAGAGGAAGCCAGCCTGATTGGACACAGTAGTCAGGAGACAAGAGGAACAGGTGTTGATATAGAGCCATTATTGTTATTGTTGTTGTTGTTATTAGCATGGGTTCTTTCAACAGCTCTGCTGTTAACATGTAGCTACCCTGGTTATACACTGGCCTGGCCAAAAAAAAAAAGTCGCCACCTGGATTTAACGAAGCAAATAGGTAGGAGCCTCCTATTGGATAATTACTGCATGGGCGATTATCTTTCAGCTGGCAACAAGTTATTTAACCCCAACTGGTGCAATGAGTTGCTTCTCATTTCCTAAA